ATCCTGTTCTGCCTTCTCTTCCTAATACGTAACTGGGGGATATAACCAGTGTTGAAACAGGAACGCACAAGGTTAAACCATTTACGTAGAACTTTCAACATCCCAAAAAGGCACGTTCGATTGTATCGGCAACCTCCAAACAGCCATCAGCACGACAAGTTTGATTATCTGCATTTCTGGCTCCGTAAGGAATAATTAAGACGCGGGCCTACGACTGTAACGTGATTGGACTCTTTCAGATATCCCTGGATTTAGCGAATACATTCTTACCTCACGTTCGGACACTTGTATAGCCATGTTGAGAATTATCCAAGTTATGGTTTCAGCGCAGCTGGGAAAGGGAAGCGAGCCTTCGTAGGTCATGTACTCGTCGATTGGGGGAATCAGAGCTTGCAATTCAATGCCTTTTAACTGGAACGTATTGCCTGGAAAAATGAAAAAAAATTAACGTGCTAAGCCCAGCAAAATGTAAAATTTCATAAAATAATGTTGAATAATAAAAATTTATTTAGCAAACAGACAAGCTACAAGTGTAGGTACTCATTTAAGAAGAAATCGATTCTGTGGATTTTTATATCAACTTAACAATATGGTCAGCCTGTTAGACCAACCCGACAACCGTAGGGCGAACGACCGACATACGATCCAAGACGATAATCGATGTTGCCGAATTGAATGCCCGAGTGAACTTTTTCACCAGATTGGTGCGTAACTTACCCATAATCGGATAGGAGAGAAAACTAATACATGCCTTAAACCGAATGCGATTACGGGGCGTATGAGCAGGGTTAAGAGCCCGCAAACCGGGAACCAGTAATTTTTTTAATGTCGCGATACATTATATAAATTAAAATATATATATATATATATTTATTATATATATATTATATAATTATATTATATATATTATAGAAATTAAAATACGCAGTAAACTTAAACTAGGAGCTGAATTAGAGCAGCAGACATTTGCTTCTACCTTTAGTGCCTTTACCATCCTGGAAGACAGTGACCTCAGTCAGTTATTTGAAGTTAAGATGATGGCTTTTGCAGGATTTACAACACAGGCTGTGTAGTGTTCAATTTCGACTTACAAGAGCGTACATATGTATACCTGCCGAAAGTAAAAGTCTTCGGGCCGGCACAAGATTATACGTAACGGTAGCGCACTAAAAGTTGGCAAACATGTAATGGGAAAAAAACAGTAATAGAGGGAAGATCGATGTCTAGACATGTCCGAACAGGCACGGCATTTTGCTACAATTGTGCAAACAAAAGCCAATGGGCGTTACTTGCCTACTGTCGCTAAAATAACTTGAGGTTGAGAATATGTGTAACTAACTGGGGCTAGGATCTCTCAATGCTAGGATATAAGGCGGACCAAATGCTAGCAACATTTGGAGGCTTTCCTGAGGCCTCGAGAATAGCGAAATATCGTTATTTGTTCTCTCTGACCGCCGTCAAGGTCATATGCCTTTACGGAGGTCATGCCCGCGCGATGACTGTCCACACACAATGACATTAAACCAGACAAACCTACTCACCTCAGAGCGGGTGCCCAAGTGGTCGCGGTTCCCCGAGGGCCAGCTGGTCGCGTGACTTATTTCCAGTGTGGCCAATCAGGCCGCAAGAGAA